CCTCAAGAGTTCCCGAGCTGCTGAGCTTATGCCGAACTGACGATAAGCTGCCTGAAGATCGTACGTGCGGCCGAGCCAGCCACAGGTGGCCTTGCCGCCGCAAAGCTCCAGAGCACGCCGCAACATGGCTGCAAGAATGTCTATAGAATGGACTCGCATCTTCTCCGGAAGTCCAACAGTGCAGTTGAGACCCCCAACACTGCAGTCGTCGATCGTGCGGAGTTTGAGTTTCTGAAGAAGGCCGAACCGGTGTGCAATGATGTTTCCTTCCCAGCAGCCAGACTCATCAACCCAGAACCATCCCTTAGCAATCTCCTCCTCTGTCTCGAGCCAAGCCTTCTGCTCGACGTCGTGATCCTGCCTCTTGGAGAGGCGCCTTTTGACTAGAGCGTGAAAGCCCCTGTTCATAGCGACGACAGTCTCAACAGACATTGTAGGCGCTCTCGGGTTGCTCGCGAAAACCTGTGACTCGGCCATCCACCCAATAAGAGGCAAGCCCTGCTCAACCTCGCGTTCGAGGGTGCTCAGCCGTCGCTGGATGACTAATTCAGGAGGGTCGCAGAACTTGGCCTTGATCGCCCGGTCCACAGCTGGGCACGCATGCCTGCCCATGTCCATTGGGTGCCCCGCTTCCACTGCTTTTCGTATGAACTCCTCGGGATCGCTGGGAACCCCAACGAAGACAGTTTCAGCAGAAGAACGGTTCACTCCAGCAGCATTATGCGATCCTCAGCGGCGCCGACGTCCAGAACAAAGCCAAGCTCGGTACATCTCCGCTGATCTGCGCAACTCATAGATGTCGCGCCCTGAACATGGAAAGCCACAAGACAAGAAGAATCCGCTCGCCCGACCAGTCGTCAGTAGAATGCACCAGCGCCGCATCAAGCTTGGCCGGGTGCTGCGACACTTCAAGCACAAGCTCCTGCTCCTGTGGATCCGCCGGGCGAACTCTGACGGCCCCTGCTTTAAAGTCTGAGCAAGGGATCAGAAGGTTAGGCACTCCGGGAGTGTTGTTGACATCACGGTGGGGGCAGATCTTAGGTTCCTAAACAACCTAACCGAGGAAAAGGCACACCTAGGGAAAACAGCCTGAACAACAGCCGTAAGCAAAGCCGTGGTCCTCGGATATGCCACAGTGTTGGACCTGAGGCCGGCTTGGCACTTCTCCTCGAGGCAATCACCTCTGCTCTTGGCGAATTTTCGATCGTGGGCAATACACCAAGCAGCATGCTCAGCTCAGCCTTCGTGATGAAACCTTTCTGGAAACACCGCTCGCTCAGACACTCAGCTGTACATCCCTTGTGAAGAGGTGCATTGTCAAATGGACTACGGCCGAAACAGGCGAGAGAGACATCCTGAATGTCAAATGAGCCCTGCTTAGGCTGGCATGTGAGATCCACTGTATCGAGATGCAGGCACTTGTTTTCTCCACTCAGAAAACACGAAGTGACCTTGGCATCTTTGGGAAGGCTACGCATGAAGCGCAGCAAGGCACCTGTCTTAGGATACGTTAGCACAGGTAGCGACCGAACTCGGACACAAGTGGCTGAAGGACCTTTCCGCGAGGAAGAGCGCCAAGCACAAGGCGTGATGCCTGGGTGCGTAGATTCTGCAGCTGAGAGTGTAAGCAAAAGAGAACGCAGCAAGACATCCTAATGATTCCTGCAACGCCATCGGCCACCTTGGGAAGCCAAGCACATAAAAATGACATCCATCGCACTTAAGCTGCAGAATTGCATTATGTTATGAGACGCAAGAACAATGGTTCTTTTAGGAAGAGAGCCGCCATGCACACATGCGTCAAAGCAAAAAACGGAAAGAAAGACAATTAGAGGCTTGTTTAATCACGGGCGCACTTCAAAGATGACTGTGGGCAGGGTTGCACACAAAGCATGGGGTCCCATGCTTAGAAGCCCAGCGAGCAAGCGCAACAGTGGACTCAATGGCCTGGTTGGCCAGTTCGGTGCGACGTTTAAGGACGAAGACCAAACCTGGAAGCTCTTGGATGATTGGCAGACCTAAGTTGCTTTGGCCCATCTGAGCGCAGCGCCTTGAGGCAACAGTCCCTAGCACAAGAAGTGGTGCTGGCATCAAGCACAATCCACAAGCAGAGCATGCGAACGACAAGAAGTCAAGCCATGGAAAGCACAAAAGCATTTGCAGACATGCAAGCCTTTATTACAGAGCTTTGGAGCAGCGTTGTTGTTAACATCTCGATTGCAGCCCTTGGCACAATTGAAAGTCCAGCAAATCAATGCTTACAAAAAGTTCTTAAGCGATGCGCGCTTGCTTGCTTTTTTAGACTGTGGTTTGGCTTCTTCTTGGAGCAAACAGCCGGCTTAGAAGAAGCTGCATCACGCAGCTTAACCTTGCACATGGCCTACATAGGTTTTTGGCAGGGTGTTCAAACCCAAGGTTTGGAACTTAGAGTTCCGAACCCAGGGTTCTAGAACTCCGAACTAAGAGTTCGGAGCCTCGAACCCAGAGTTCGAACATCGAAGTTCCCTCCGAATCCTAAGTTCGAACTTCAAGTTGAACTCCAAGTTGAACTCAACTCCGAACTTCTTGAACTGGAGTTAAACCTTGAGTTGAACTTTGAAGGCGAAGAGTTTGAACCCAGGGTTTGAAAATAGAGTTTCCGAATCCAGAGTTCGAACATAGAGTTTCCGAACCCAGGGTTTGAACTCTTGCGGCCCGAAAGTTTCAACTCAGGCTTTCCGAACCCAGAGTTCGAACGTTGAGTTTCCGAACCCAGAGTTCGAACTCTGGCGGCCCTAAAGACCCAGGTTTCAAACATAGAGTTTCCGAACCCGGAGTTCGAACATGGAGTTTCCAAACCCAGAGTTCGAACTCTTGTATCCGTGTGGCTTCTTCTTCTTTTATTTGTGCTTGCGTTTGAGTTTGTGCTTTCTGTCATTGTAGTGTACTCTCACTTAATTTTCTTCGCAAAACTCCCACAAAGCGATTCTGTGTGGCTTCTTCTCCTTTTGTTTCGTGATTGTTGGTGTTCGAACCCTGTTTGAAGTCTGGAGGAAAGTCTAGAACCCGGAATTGGAGGTTCATTTGTTTTTCGCAGGAGACTTCATGTCCCTTCTGAAGCTCTCTTAAGAAGAAAGACACCTCATTAACAATCTTTTCTTTGTTTTGCCTTTCTTTGATTTCTTCGTAAAAACTCTCTAAGGCGGCTTCGTGTGTGTGGCAGGAACTGGTCATTGGCAGCCTTTTCTTTGTTTTCGGTGAGCTTCTAAAAACAGCGGGGGGGGGTTGGGAGGAACGCAGCCGCTTCCAAACGTGGAGTTCCCGAACCTAGAGTTTGTACGCTTCCGGGCGGGAAACGACTTCCAGAACCTCGGACATAGAGTTCCTCAAACCCCCGGGTTCCAACATAGAGTTTCCGAACCCAAAGAGTTCGAACTTCCTGGGGGACTGGAGGGAGGTTCCGAACGCAGGATTTGGACTCTCTAGGACTTCTCAAACCCGGATTGGGGAAGCGCAGCTCTTCCAAACGTGGAGTTTCCGAACCTAGAGTTTGTACGCCCTGGGGGGAGAGACGACTTCTAGAACCCGAGGTTCCAGCATAGAGTTCCCCAAATCCCCGGATTCCAACATAGAGTTTCCGAACCCAGGCTTCAAACTCCCTAAAAGACCGGAGAAGGGTTCCGAACCCAGGGCTCTGGGAAAGGGAGAGGAGTTTCCAAACCCGGGTTCGAACATAGAGTTCCCGAACCTCGGGTTCAAACATAGAGTTCCCCAACCTCGGGTTCGAACATAGAGTTCCCGAACCCAGGGTTTGAACATAGAGTTCAAACTCCAGGTTCAACCTGGGTTCGAGAAGTTCGAACCCAGGGTTCAACTCTGAGTTCCGGAGTTTTATGTTCTTTTCCTCCCCTCCCGGGCTTCCCAGGAGTTTGAACTCTGGGTTCCGGAACACTCCAAAAACCTATGCTCGCACATGGCTTCCAGAAGCGTTGTAACCCATTTCTGATAAATTTTCCATGACAACATCCAACATTGATCAAAAGTAAGTCTTATAAGCGCCCACTGCAAGCGAATGGCAGGCTTATGCGGCACAACAACAAGACTGTTTCTTGAGCAAGCAGATTTGGCCTGAACTTTTGAAACAAACTAATCTTATCCTTCTTTGCCAATCCTTTCATATGAAATATAAGAGCAATCAGGAACATATCATAAAAATTATTCCGGATTCAAATCCATTATTTGAAAAGGGAACGTATCCCGATCATAAAGGTTATCATATTGAAATGCGCTCACAGGCGGACGATCTTTTTCATTCGACGGGGGAATGCACGATCGATTCGGCTCGGCCAACAGCCGACGCCGTACAACACCTTCACCTGCCCTGATGGCCCTTGCACATCAAAGCGGTGTTCATTCCCCCCCAGGGTGGGAGGGTGGGTCAAAACTTTCAAAATCGCTCTGCCTTCAGAGCCGCATATCCTGCAGGATATAATCAACATAGTGAGTCACCAAATGTCGATGCATGGGCATCCCCAAAAATTTGTTCCATGCATAAAACGAAAGGTCGAAAAGTGGCATGGCATGAAAAGCAATACATCAGATCAAGCGCCACACCTTTCCTTCATAAAATTTTTAGAAACATGAACAAAGATTTCAAACGAAAGGACGGTGAGCATCTCACCTGTTGGCTAGAGGATAAGAGGGTATCACGGATCGTGAGATTGTCTTTATCCTTCTTTGCCAATCCTTTCATATGAAATATAAGAGCAATCAGGAACATATCATAAAAATTATTCCGGATTCAAATCCATTATTTGAAAAGGGAACGTATCCCGATCATAAAGGTTATCATATTGAAATGCGCTCACAGGCGGACGATCTTTTTCATTCGACGGGGGAATGCACGATCGATTCGGCTCGGCCAACAGCCGACGCCGTACAACACCTTCACCTGCCCTGATGGCCCTTGCACATCAAAGCGGTGTTCATTCCCCCATCAACACATCACCGCGCATACGTCCTCAAGCTGCCTCGATCATGGGCTGCACCTTTCGGAAGCGTTCCTCATACTCCCCAAAGGATAACCTCGAAGCTGCATCAGAAAAGTTGCTCTTTGATGGCACCCGGCAGTACCATGGAAAACAGTGGTTCACGACATCAAGCTCAGCAATATCCGCCAACATGTTGGCGGCGTCAACCAAGGGCGAGTAATTTCGGATCAAAGCCGCCTTGGCAGCTTCGTTGTCCACAAAGAACAGTGCCCTCCGATTCCTCAACACCTTTCCCCAAGTGCGCCTCGCAATCAAGACTGGATAAAGCTCTGCGAAGAAAATCAGTTGCACTCGTCCGGACCCACGCCACACCTCAACAAGAGGCCCTGGGATGTGGCCCCCGAACACCTCATAGGTCTGCGATGCAACGTCCACGATGACTGCCCCATGCGTCACCTGAGAGCCGCGTTCTTCACACGCCCCGTCTGTGAAAACTATGACAGGCGGCTGTTCGGACCACAGGTTCACCTGACGATCCCCAGCAGCCTTCAAGGTATCCAAAGCGCGACGTACAGCCGCCTCGACACAAGCATGGGCCCCTGAACCTTGGTGCTTTTCAGCATGATGAATAAGCTGCGTAGCCACCTGTGCGCAACGGCCGAACACATGCGAGGCTGCAAACAAGAGCTTGCCCTTAAGGGAAGGAAGAGAGCGCGCCCCCTCACCGGGGTCGGAGGCAAGGCGTTCCACCATGTCGCCAATCTCTTCCACTCGCCCAGGTTTATTTCTAATCCTAATCAAGCCCCTGCCAGCATCTTTGAAGGATAGCACGGCCCCAAGCATAGTGAACTCCGAAGCAAAAGGTTTAAGCTTGTCGCCATCAGACACCTCCCAGCCAAGAAGGTCCAGCAATGCAAGCGCAGCCTGATCAGCCGAGTCGGTCAGACCATCGATCTCAAGTTGGCAAAAGTCGTCAAAGAATGACGTATTCACAAGGAGCAAAAGTCTCGACATGATAATGCGCAGGGCCCGGGCGGCCCGGTTAAAGCCTGTCACTGCGCTCGACGCTCCGAACGGGAGCGCGGCACTCTCAAAGTAAGAGACGGTGCCGGTGTCTGGGTCCAGGACACCTAGCACCGATGCCCAATCGTCTGAAGGGTGCCGGGCTAACTGCTTGTAGGCGCTCCGCAAGTCTAGAGCTCGGCCCTTCAGATTTCTTGCCCGTCCGTCCCTGAAGTCCCTATGCAGGCGGCCCTGGTAAACGCCTCCGCCGGACATAGGAAGCCGGAAAACCTTTGTGCCGGCCACTGTGGAGCCCAGGTGGAACCTCGCAAGTGCCACAATATCATCGAGCCCTTCAAGCTGAATCTTCTCTGTCTCAGTAACAGAGGCATTTACCTGAAACTGCGACAAATCATCAACCGCCCTAACCTTGTCACCCTGGGAAACCCCAAACCTTTTGGAAGCCACCCAAGTGCCACCATACTTTTGGTCCATTTGCTCCCAAGTGAAAGGCCCGGCAAGCCAACCTTTCTTCACCTGAGCAAGAGACTCTTCCCAAACGGACCTTGCAACATCCGGGTCCTTAGACGCTTTCCGGCAGGCCGCCTCGATCAGGTGTTTCGACCAAGAGGCCGTGCGCCGGAGTTCGTCCACCGAGATAGACGCAGGCTTATACTTAGGGGGGAACAACCCAGAAGGCTCTAAGGGGCCCGTGAGTCTAAAACCCCGAACCATATCCTCGAAGAGGTGCTCGTCAGGCACACCGGCATCCAGCAACATCTGCTTGAACAGCAGGAGATTTTTGGACCCCATCACCTCCCGGACTGCTGGGTCCATGGACTGCTTAAGCTCACGTTCATCCTCCCGCAGTGATTTCTCAAGCGCCCTATAATGCTCCAAGACTGAGAGGCGCTTCTGCTTTACAGCTGCAACCCCGTGCTCAAGAGTATAGGCAATGGCCCTAAGGTTCGGACCGTCAATGGACACGGCACTATCAAAGGGATGCGTGGTTGCCATGGCCTCTTTCAAGAATTCTTGAGGTGTGTGGTACACCCCAAATTCTGCCTCGCGGCGCTCAACTCCCCCATCCACAAAGACGCGAGTCCATAGCAGCTTTGAACCCGAAGGGATGTCAACCAAGCATGGCGGCGGATCAGCGGGAACGCACTCCGGTGGCTGAAAGTCCCGCGGCAAGATAATGCGGTGCAGGCGTTTGTATTCAGCAGGACCCACGACACCACGGCCCCGCCGTGGCTGGCGCTGTGCAAAGGTCGCTGCGATTGCGCCGTCAGTGGATTCGGACGGTTGCACACAGACGCCAACACGCTCAAGCGCCAGCTGGATCTCGCGAGCAGCGGCAGCACAGAAGCCTGCAGGGTAGGCCGTTTCCTCGGAAGTGGCATACTTCCATTGCCCGGTTTGTGGGTCGCGGGACCGACCCCATCGCTTATGTTTGTGCGCTCCATCACACTGCAGCATCAAGCCGGGCAAAGTGCAAGTGGCCAGCAGAGCCGTGCGTTTGCGCCTGGAAGATCCGTACATGCAGGCATGAAGCTCATGCCAGAAACCATCTGGGATTTCTGAACGGAACCACGAAGTGCGCCACATCAGGCTGCCGACGGGATTCTCCACAATGCACAAGATGCCATTGGACTTGCAGAAGCGGAAGACCTTTGCAGTAAAGTCATACAGCAAATTTGCACTGTTGACGCGGTCACGATCCACATCCGCCAGTGTTGGGAGCCCATCGGGAAACTCCTTGGACCGCAATGGCTTGGGGCCGTGTTTGGAGTTGCCGAGAGGTATCGACCTAGCGCTAGATGAGGTCCCGCATGGGGGCGCCAGCCAGACGGCATCCGCGCGCCGTAATTCCACCCACAAGCGTTCCTGCTGCTCAGGGTCACGCAGGTCAAGGCTGATGAAGGGTGCATTGGCATGCTTAGCGGTGGGCTTGTGATCGACGCCGAGAACCTGGAATCCCAACTTTCGCACAGCCGCAGACAAACCGGCGGAACCACAGAAAATCTCCAGGAACGAAGGTCTGATTGACTTGCCACTGTTGCGCAACACACCAGAGGACTCAGGTGGCGCGTTACGGTCGGCTGCCTGAGGCCGCATCGGGCCGACTGGGACCGGGTTTGTCGGCCCTGGTTCCTGCAACGCCGTTGTGACACCTAACTTAAAGGGGGACTCGGGACCGGCCGTTGAGTCAGGGCGCCTACCAGGGAGAGGAAAACCCAAAGCGGAAAGCTCCTCCCTATGGCCAGGGCTAATCCCATGAGGGTTGCGAACCGTAAACCCGACGAGAACCACCCGTGAACCCCCAGCCCACGGCATGACACAGTGAGGCTGCTGTGCATCAAAGGACAAAACTTGTCCATTAAACGGCAGGACACGTCCATGTGCTTGCTCGTCGGACAGAGGGCATGGCACCTTGCCTTGCGGGTCCGCGATCCAGAGGCCGCCATCGGAGAAGTTTGACACCTTAACGATGGTATTCAGCTGCTGGGGGTCATTTCCCTTGTCAGAGTGAACCCGCGTCTCAAGATCACGAAACAGGGCCAAGGTGGTATAAACCGCAGTTGGCGCCTGTTGCCTCATAAATGCATTCAAGAGTTTGGTTGTGTGTGGGAATTCGCGGCAATGCTGTCGCAAACCATGTCGCTCACCATGATCAAAAGTATATGCGCCGGTCGTAAAAGAAAACTCGGATCCGTGGCCCTGAATCCGCGAGCCGCGAGACGGGGCCTCGGATGGCAAAAGGCTCAACAAGTGAAGAATCGTAGCAGCATCGACTTTGCCGACGCATGCCGCGGCAAACTTTTCTGCATTCGAATCACTGCGGTTGCCAAAATGGCTGCTGGCAGTGTCATGCACGGGTGTGGACGCAGCTGCACGTACCTGCGACGTGTTTTGTGGTCCTGACCCTAGTCAAGACGACTTGTGATGAGAGAAGACATGACTTGGGTCGAAACACGACGGGTAGCAGCACACATGAGCCCCCTTCGGGCAGGAGCCAGCGGCGTTGGGGCACTTTTTCAGATTGTGATCAAAACAGATGTTGTTCCCACTATCATCCCGGGGCACTCCCCCTATCAAAGCCTTTGGCATAACAAAGCGCACCTTGCGCTGCTTGGTCGGCTTTTCGGCCGCATTCGGCCCCGACCCCTTGCCAGCATTCTGGTCTTTGTCGCCCCTTGAATCCTTGTCCGTCGCCTTCGACAGATCGGTCTTCTTCGGTGGCTTTGGCAACTTTGGAGGCTTTTCAGTGGCATCCCCGACTGAAGCAGAGCCCTTCTGGCGCGGCATAAGCATCCAATGGATGTGCGGTCCGCTCAGAACCTTTCCAAGCGGCCCATCCAGCGGGAGAGCGCCGGTCGCATCCGGGGTCAGCCCCGCCCGTGTATGCTCACCCATACGCACATGGATCTCACGATCGGCGGCCTGCAACTGTGCCAGAGACACAGGATGGAACCCTTGCATGGGCTCACGCTGATACTCCATGAACAAGCGATCAATCAGTTCCTCGTGCCGCTCAAACGTCATGATGGCAGCAAGCTCATAAGCCACGCCGCGCCTGCGGAGGGCTTGCATCACCTCCAGGTCGGACTTAGTCTCAGCCATGAGCCGAGATCCCGGATCCACAAGTTTGACCGCACCGGTCCGACCTCCTTGCAGGACCTTTAAGCTGGAATCCTCCTTCACAAGATTTATTTCTTGGGCCCGGCTTGTGCACTTTGACCATTCAATGTATCGCACGCGTTGATCCTCAAGCATTTGGGCCGCCAAGTTTACCAAGGAGTGGGAAGGTTCAAGCCTATCTACTAATCGCAAAGGCGACACCCTGCGCTGCAAGACATTGTACCTAGCCGCAAGCTCAGCCGTCGGAACCTTTCGCGGCTGATCAGACTCTGTCGACTCGGCCGTGCGCTTGAGCTCGGCCGCAGTGAGTGCATACGCCTCAAAGTGCAACCGGCGAAGCTTAGCATGATGCTCATCGCCATCGGCCCCCAGAATCGGGGTCGCAACACCGGTCTTGAACACATCCTCAGCGATACGGCCAGGCTCGCCCGGGACACAAAAGGCAAATGTCCCGAAGGTCGACCATCCCTTGCGCTTCAACTGGTTCCTGGCCTCCTCAGGTAATCCAAGCTGGGTGCACTTCGCAAGGAAAACAGCTTCGCTATCAATGGCCGACATGGTGGTGCAAGAATCTACGCCACGTCCTAAGTCCTGCCCGAAATCACACGATAAAGGAAAATTGAAATGTACGATCAACATGGCATCTCCGTGTACGAACATGTTCACATGCGAGCCCAACCTCGAGCACTAGACCTGCGTGCATACCACGACAAGTGTACGTCCTGCATGGGACGTCCCTCCTCAACTGACTCAGCTACTCATCGACAGCCAAGAGAGAGAGAGAGAGACGCCATGAGAAGGATTGATTCGTCTGTCACATCACAACCGCAGATACAGTGCACCAGGACAAAAGCAACATGCCTAGCATGGCTCCGACTGTTTTCTCACATCACTGCCTCAAGTCCTTGGCCCCCCAACACGAGGAACACTTGTGAAGCATGATGGTTGGCACCTCGTCCAAAAGCTCATAGTTTCGGTTTGCAAAGCGGCCGCACCGGAAGACTGTCATCTCCCCCTCATCTGGAGGCTGATCGTCCCTAGCTGCGTGGATCACTCCGCTAAGCTTATGCTGAAAACACCGAACGGACCGCCTGGCGTCGTCGGACACTTGCAAGTCCGACCCAAGCGCAAAAATGGACACACCCGCCTCCTCGGCCTCACCTGCAGACCCAATGCTCTCCGCTGGCGATTCCGGATCAGACTGCACAGCCTCGTCGGCCCCCGCAGCCTCGGCCGGGCCGGGTCCCGCGGCCTGACTTGGAGCCGGCTTCCCCGACAGAAATCGGATCGCATCATCCACCGAGCGCACTCCCTGGGTCCAGCGCCCAGCCCTGGTAGCATCGGGTGCAAACAGCCCGCTCGTTATGGTCAAGAACATACACTCCAAGAAATGCAATGCCGGTGCCAGGGTATCGCGGGAATACTCGAGAGTAGAGGAATTGGCGGACCTCAAGTGATACCCCGCAATTGCACGCAGATTCTCCGGAGCACCCGCCTTGGCCATATAGCTCAAAAGTGTTGCCTTCAAGCTGTGGGTAGCAATGTCCCCCCACTTGACGTCCAGATCTAAGGGTTGGCATTCTTTCAGAACCTCACGCAACCACAATGCCCCGAGAGACGGATCAAGCGGTAGAGAGTCAAATCCCCCAGTGCACAGAGGCCTCGGCATCATAGGCACGCCCCTTGACGCCTTGAGACCGAGCCGTCGCCGCCGTTCTAGCCAAGCTTCCGCCCAACTGCCCTCCGCAAGACCGGGCGAGATGCAGGACACTGGCAGCAACCGATGCCTGGCCAACGATCCCCGATTAGCAGTTTTATGGTGATAAAGCTGGGCGTTCAAGAATCCCTTGCCCTCATGAACATCCAATGTCGGCTCTGCCTCAGTGTGCTGAGCGTCACTCCAGCGCAGCCTCCCATGGAGGCAGTACAAGGCGTAGCCAGCCAAAACCGCTGCTAGATCGTTGTCGGAATTCAAGACAAACTCCTCAAGTGCCCTGACCTGAGCAACCGTCAATGGTACCTTCTTGCGAACAACCACAGCCTGAACCTGAGGGTTTGCAGCCCCTTGGATACGCGCCGAGCTCGATGCATCGCTTACGTCTGCACCTAGCATCGCACCTGCAAAATTGATTGCTTCGCGGAAGCGCGGTGCACGGGACCTGGGAGCCCCCTCACTCCTCAAGAAGCAAACGTACAAGTAAGCCTCGGCCTCGTCCAAAGGAAAGACCGCTGGGTCCAGACCAACGGATGCCCTCCACCGTGCATAATGTGCCAAACTTGCAGCCCTAGCCTTGAGCGTAGAAGTTGACTTAGACGAGAACACATCCCTAAGGCATTGATCTACAGCATCTGCCGATGATCCCTCCTGCTGCATCTTTGCAAGATTTTTACCAACCCTAGTGCCCTTTCCCGAAGTCAAGATGATCAGCCGCCACATTTCAAGTGCCGCGGTCCGTCGATCGTCCTCATGGTCGGCCCAAGACCGAGAGTGGACCACCGCTGCCTTCCACGGCTCCTTTCTAGACCTTATCTGCTGAGGAGTCTCGCAGACCTGCGGCCCCTGGGTAGCATGATCCGGACTCCAAGGCACAAGAGGTGACGGCAGGAAGCCCCTAGACCCAAGAACCGAAGACAGCATACCTGTATCCCAAGGCAAAGGCATCTCGAACGATGTGGAATGCAACACGGTCATGGCATGTTGCACTGTCGGAGGGTAAGGTGCCCTAGACGCCCTAATCCGAGCCCTAAGCCAATCCCCCATACCCAAACCACTGGGCCGGTCTGTCGCCGGATGCCCTGTTTGCACAAGTTCACCTGCCATGTAAGCTATGCAAGTTGAGCAGCAAAGGCGCGAACCCGCTGCACAATGCGCTCCAGCCACACGACACGATGGTTTGTATAATCCCGGGCCGACTCCAATGCGCGGATGCGATTCTCAAAAGACTCCAACACGCGAATCCTGCCCTCAAGATACTCGCAGCGGTCCGAAAGCACCTGTGTGTCCTGCTGTGCTGCACGGAACTGCTCTTGCAAAGCCCAATGATCCCGCTGCAAGTCTGCAAGGTGACGACTGATGGCACTCACCGTCGAAACCGTGCTATCGGCCTCGGAGTCAGGCTCAGCAGCCGGCTCGGCTGCCGGGTCCATCCACCGTCCCGTCAGGGGACGGCTTGCACGGAGGGCTAGCCCCAACGTCGAAGTGTTGGTTTCGCAGGGCCTGTTGAGGTTGCACAAAGACCCGACACCCAGAGGCCTCAAAACTTTCAAAATCGCTCTGCCTTCAGAGCCGCATATCCTGCAGGATATAATCAACATAGTGAGTCACCAAATGTCGATGCATGGGCATCCCCAAAAATTTGTTCCATGCATAAAACGAAAGGTCGAAAAGTGGCATGGCATGAAAAGCAATACATCAGATCAAGCGCCACACCTTTCCTTCATAAAATTTTTAGAAACATGAACAAAGATTTCAAACGAAAGGACGGTGAGCATCTCACCTGTTGGCTAGAGGATAAGAGGGTATCACGGATCGTGAGATTGTCTTTAGTATCCGCTTAGAGCACTTGCTGGGTGATATCCAAGTTATGACGGAAGTCTTATAGATTGTGTTCGCCATGTCGCACAGTGCATGGCTGGGACATAACTTTTCTGTCAGGTCTAAACCCCTTAGACGCCTCTGTTGAGCTGCTAACCGGGCCTGGCTCAGCGAAAGAAATCCGTTTAATGTTCTGCGCACTCTCAGAAGCCTCCGTTCTGTAACATGCTTCTCAAGCACCGCGACTACAAAAGCGGTAGCTTCGACAGTGACGGCGAACCAACAAACACTTCAAAATTAAATCCCAAAAAAATCAGCTTTACTGGAAGCAGTCTGGCTCCACCTGTTGGACAGCTCTGAGCAACGGCTCTTTGTTGCTTCTGACCAGTCGCTGAGGCTCGCAGTTTGGCTGAACGGCCAAAACAAAACCTGTGCGCCGCAGCCCTTTGTCTCTCTCTTATGTAACAAAAAAACTGCGCTGGCTGTTTTCTTTATGGTGTAAGTTCTTCCCTTGCTCCGAGCTGGCTTTTTAGAACGCTCGAAAGTGCGTGCAAAGTCCATGCAAAATCTTTCGGGCTGTAGTGTGGCCTGGCAGTGTTTGAGTTCGCTCGGTTCACGTCTGGATTCCGCTGGATGCGTTCTGTGCCTCTCTTTAAGCGAGTTCCATGCGAAGCTTTTGCTTTGGAAGTTATTGCTTGTTGCAACATGGAAATTCGAGCTCTTGCAGCTGTGAACAAACTTCATCGGAGCAGCGTCGAAACGATTGCGGCGTGTATGCTGCCGGCGCCCACATATGACCTTCATGTGGCTCAATTTTATGAAAGCGTCGTGCGTTGAAAGACATAGGTTTGTCATGAATGTCGATCCATGAACCTTTGAGCTCACGAACTGTGCCGTTTTTGCTGATTTTTTCGATTGAAATTCCTTCATCATCTTCAATCCAGACTCTGCCTCCCGTAAAATTTCCGAGAGTGATGGCATGGTTTAATTCTCCAACCATATTTTGCATGTCCCGATGCAGTCCGATTCGAGGATTGAGCAGCACCGCTATGGAAGTCCAGGTTCCGTTTGGAAAGCGATGTCGCATAAAACGGTTGACTGCTATGCATGCTTCTTTCATCGAGGAAGCCCTAGACACGTTCGGAGCATTGCCTCCAAAAGCATAGAGGCCCAAAGTGCAGTACCGCTCATATGCTCCTGTTCCAATGGCTCGTTGTCGACCCCGCCATTTCCATTGTGGCGACCACAGGTCAAGCAAGGCCACCAAGTGCTCTTCCGAAGGCGCCTGCATGATAGCTTTGCATGCGGACGAAAGCTCGGTCATTTTTGTTCATGATGGAAGATTAGGGTGGAGCTACGGGTCCGGGATTGAAGTCTCGAAGCTGGCGAATGGCAAGGGGCACGGGAGGTCGGGTCAGTTTGGCTTTGGGTTCGGCGCTGCCTCTTGGAACTGGAAGTGCATGTTTCAGTAGAGTTTCGGTTCCATCTGTGGCTCGAACAACCATGGAATCAATGCTGGCAACATCGCGAGCAGGTCCGTACTGCGGTTCGAAGCTTCTTCTTGCATTTGTCGGAGCTCTGAATGCGCCCGCTTCTTCCAATCGGCGTTTGCGACCTTCCGTGAGCTCCTTGTTGTGCTGGAACTTGGTTGCATTGTCTTGATAGACCCGGAACGTTGTCGCCGGCTGCGTCTCCACGTCCTCGGGCGCCGCGTGCACCGCCTGGTGCGGTCGGGCATTGCAGGCCTCCGTCACGTTCTCCACGTGCTCGCCCCATCCGCCGCCGTCCCGTGCCACCTTTCTCGTCAGATCCTTCTTCAGCGTTTGAATGGCCCGGTCGACGACGGCCGTGGCGTTGTTTGTAGAGAACTTGGGTGTGTAGTGGATTTTGAACGGTTTGGTGCCAGTTTTTGGGTCTCATGAGCGTTTGTGTTGCGGCCTGCGCCAAGGTTGCGATGCTGATCGAGAAAGTCTTAACCGAGTCCTCCCAGGTGGATCCCGAGGACGCAGAGCCGTACGGCGAGGTGAGCTGCATGGCCATGCGGCCGGACGAAGTCGAGTACAATCTCTTCATGGAAGAGGTGAACATTGACAGCATCGAAAGCTACCTGGAGAAGAAGGACTTGCGCCGGGTGTCGGGCCTGTTCTCCAGTCTGTACGCCATGCGACAGCGTGCAGTCAATTTGCGGCCAGACGGCCAAGGTTGGCTGCCGGTGACCAGCTACCAGGCCCCCACACTTGACAACATGGAGTCGCTTCCCATCACCGGGCTTTGCATCCGCGATCCCGAGCCTGAGGTTTCGGATGATGGCCGCAAGAAGCGCAAGACCTGCCAAGAACCTTTCGTCATCGGAAAGCCGACTGATCTGACGTTGGCGGAAATGGCGCGTGGGATTCCTATCTCCCATGTTGGGAAAGGGTTGAGCTCCCTCCCCTGGGAGTCCCTGTCGATCGCTCTGCCACAGGCGACACACCAGGTGCGGATCCTCTGCCCTGCATTGACGTTGCTCCAGAACTGCGCCCAAGTCGCGGGAGTGACCTTGCCGCCGTACCTGAAACATTGTGTGGACGATCCAGCCTTCTTGGTGGAAGCCGCGGAGCAGCTCGGAGTTCCGAGCGACAAGATCGAGGAGCTCTTTGAGGCGATTGTTTCAGGCGCTTCTTCGAGAGAATGGTTGTTGAAGCACAGAGCCTCGCGACATCGCTCACATTTTGAGGCCATCTACGCTTTCGAAGTGGCCGTGCGGAGCCTGCGCAAGCTGGTCCATGAGAGCCTGACGGACGAGCACCGTGCCAAGCTAAGCCTATAGCGACCAATCAGCCACGGGCCCTAGCGTTCCACTTGCTCTTCAACCATTGCTCCTTCTTCTGCGCCAAACACATGCACGACAAGCTGGGCAACATGTTGCTGCACCGCCGCGGTACAAGGTGCCTGGTCTGCGCCACCGAGGCGGAGCTTGCTGAAGTTATCTCCATTTTGGACGAGAAGTTCATGATCAAGAGTGACCCTGTCGGCGAAGCGGATCTCTCGACACCACAGCCAGGCCTTCACTGTAAAGCCCAAGCCGAGGTCTCGTGGCAAGAATACGGGCAGGCACACTGGGACTGCTGCAAGGCTCTGCTGTCCGAAAAGCCTCGTGCCCACATGGACACCATCAGCCGGTACCTGGCCTGGCGCCTGCTCTTCGAGGACGAGATCCACGTCACCGAGGCCGACCAGGTCACAAAATTCGAAAGGTTCGTGGACGGCCGCTGGGAATGTCGTGAGATCAAGCATCTGTCGGAGATCATCGCCCCGCTCTTGAAGGACATGCTGCCGACGAGCGTCTCTTGGGACGTCGCCCGGTTCAGCCAGCAGCTGGTGGAACCGACGACTGCAAGGCTGCTTCGCAACCAAACGAAACTCCCCCCGCTAGACGGCGATGTGTCCCGCGGGAAGTTGTTGTTCCAAGATGGCATCGTCTACGACTTTCAGAGCGGCACCTCGGAGCCCGTTAAGGCTTCACATCGCATGGCAAAACGCGCAGGAATGCACTTCGAGGTTTGGGCTCCGCCGGCGGACGCCCCGGATTTGTTCGGGCTCGTGGAGCAGTGGCTGCCCAAGACCACAGAGCAGCTCGAAGACGAGCATCTCGGCCGCAGGATCATAGAGGTGTTCGAGGAATTGAAGAAGCACAGCTCCCTGCTCCGGTTCCTCTACAACAACCATCTCGATTGGAACGCCGTTCTGCTCAAGGGCCGCCTAGTGTCCGTCATGTTTGCGGCCTTGGCATGGTACAGAATGCTGCACTACTTCTTCGGGTCAACAAGCGCCTCAAAAGACACCGAGTGCCTCATGTACTACGTGGCGCTTGGGGAGCTGGCGACAACGCTGACGTCCAAGTACGCCACGTCGAAGGCCGAAACCAAGGAGTCGGTCAACCCCAACTTCCTCGCCACGATGGGCTGCAGGATGATTTGGATGTCGGAGGTGGAGAAGCATCGGACGCTCGCTGAGGAGTTCTTGAAAGGCGCTTCCGAGCAAGCAGGGGCCCCCTTGAAGGCACGAGGACGGAAGCGAGACCCGGTGGAGTTCCGGGTGATGGCTCAGATCTTCATGACTTCCAACAATGCGCCGAAGTATTCAGATCCTGCTGGCGGCTTTGCATCGAGAATGTGCCTTTGGGAGATGCCCAACCTCTTCACGCAGTCGGACATCGACCCGGACCTCAAGGACACGATTCAGCAAGGAGCCTTCAATTCCCAGCTCCTTTGGCTCGCGATCGGCTTCTACAAGTCCGTCACGCCAAGCTTCAATCCGGGGACGGTGCTTTCCCCGAAGCCCTCCAACATGCAACTGGTCGAGAAGAAGCTGAAGGAGAACGTCCCGATGAAGCGCCTGGAGGAGTTCATCAAGTTCCGCTGCTGCTGGTGTGACCGTGCCTCTGCAACCCCCGTGGAGACCTGGAGAAGTGCTGCCGCCGGCTACTGCAGCGTGGACTTCGGCGACATTGGGACGATGCTTGCGAATGCGGATTTGAAGTCGGAGAGTCGGGGGGGCTCCTGCGTGGAAGGTGGCCGAATCATCACCGTGCTGAAGAAGGCGAACGGGGCGGGAAACAAGACCTGCCTGCGCCTGCTCACCGACGAAGAGTTCAAGAAGGTGAAGATCGAGAGTGCCAGCAGCGAGGCGGCGTCGAGTTCCAAGCTCCCAGACCCTTTTGCCTAGGCGTGCTGCTCAGGGTCGCATTTTTGTTTTTGTGCCGGTACAGCTGCAGGCACTTCCATATAGGAACCGATGTGTCGGCAGAGGCAAGCAGTTTTGCACGGTCTCCTGAACTTTCAACTTTAGAACAGTTAGAACCCTAGACTCCGTCATAACTCTTAAACCGGTCGCCTAACACCGCGACGAAAGGTCAGGAGCCGACTCACAGCAGCCCCGGGGGGAAGCTGTGCAGCCATTTCGGCGGACTTTCCTGTTGATACGGCGTGCTTTTGCGCTGAGACAACTGTGTACATACCACCTGAGGTCTTTCTCCTTTTCTGTGCTTTTCGCCATGCGATTTTCAGCCGCAGTTTTGGTAGCGATCTCCGTTCGGACCAGACCTGAGGTGTACAGAGATGGTTTGGAGCCGATTGTAACAGGCGTGGTGGATTCCTCCGATACACCCACCGAAACCCTTAACGTGATAGCTGATAGCATGGGGCACTCTTCAGGCATCGCTAAGCGCGTATATTGGCTCACACAATCCAACACAGCCGCCCAGCTCTGGGGAGTCTGGGGAGAACGTCCGCCCCGGGTTCACAATCCGGGCACAGACTGAGCGTGAGAACATCCGCCAAAATGTGCGTCGTTGAGAGGCTTTGTTGAGTGTCTGTGGCGCATGCTTGTAGGAACTCGGTAGTTGCGCAGACCGTTCTGACCCTCTCGTGCCCAAAACCCCTTCTTGCAACCTGGCAGGCGTTCCCAGACGAGGCTCGCCCTGGACCCTGATTTGCGACATCTGTTCGAAGCTTTTGCACTGTGATGTCCAAATGCCAAGTTCCCTCCAGCTTTTGACAGCTCTCAGACTCGTTCTTGCCGCCCCTGCTTGAGCTAGGATGGCCGACTTGGCGCTCAAGGCTTTGCAGATATGCCTTGAACGCCTTGAACCATTGCCCACCAATATCCCCGGGTTCCTCCTCGCCGAGCGGAGCTGGCAAAACTTGGCCTGCTGCTGCAAGGAGTTCTCGGTGTCCCGAAAGGCGCGAAAGGAGCAAGCTTGTAATCTGTTGACACTTGTTCACAAGACGAGCTGGTGGAAAATGCCCGCTGCAGCGTATGGCGACTGCTTCACCAACCTCAAGTTCGACATCCTGAATCTTCGCAGGGCGAACTTCTGGACTATCATGACCGCCGACCATGCAAATGCCCTACTAGAGTGGGAGATCGACGTCGCGACCACAATGTTCAAGGTCTTGACGGACAACATCAACACTCGAATCGGACCGTACTACGCCTTGAGCTTCGCTCACAGATTCATTGAGCGAATGCACCGTTACGAAGATTTGGGCATTATGGGCATTCCAAGACAGATCATGAAAAAGGTCATGCGGGACACGCTGCCGGCGCCGGCGGAGTGGATGACATATCTCTCACACTGGACGGACACACGTGACCGAACATGTCGTCATACCGTGCCGCCTGGAAGGCCTCCGCTTGTATCGTAAATGGCACGCTCCTGAAATGTCCAACCGATTGGCAGTTGCCCGCTTGAGAGTCCATCCTAGCGGCCTTGAGAGCGTAGATTTCGAATACGGGAGTGAGGCTGAATACGAGGGTGAGGATGAAGAGAATTGAGTGGCGACCTTAGCCATACGCAAGCCTCAGCCAACGAGGATGTGTTTTCGATCCTTCCTGAAGGGGACGAGCGGGCACGTGTCATGGTGTGCGAGGAATATTCCTTGAACATCTTGCAGATTTTGTACAGCTCGAGGACCACGCCACTTCAATAATTACCGAAGAAGAGTCGTGGCCTCAAGCAGGCGAGCGTAGAGGATCTCCACACAGTCTGGAGTGTCCCTTGCCGCTTTAGTTGCATGTCCGGTGACGCCAGAAGGCGCACCATTATTATGGTCTGCGGCTCCCAGCTGCATGCTTGATGTAGCTTACATATGGGCCTAACCTTAGCGACATCTGGATAGACACCGCGGTTGTTGCTTGTCGCTCAACTGCAGACAGGGGCCTTACAGACAGCGGTTAGGTGTGGTTGGCACCTTTGACCGCTTCCCGGGTTCACAATCCGGGCACAGACTGAGCGTGAGAACATCCGCCAAAATGAGCGTCGTTGAGAGGCTTTGTTGAGTGTCTGTGGCGCCATGCTTGTAGGAACTCGGTAGTTAGGTAGTTGTGCAGACCGTTCTGAGCCTCTCGTGCCCAAAACCCCTTCTTGCAACCTGGCAGGTACATCCGGCATCCTCGATCCGTGGCCGCATTGATCGAGTTCCCGGGCAAGGCTCGCCCCTGTCCGTGGAACTACTGCGGTCTTGCGTGATGTAGCTTGCTCCTGTTGCAGTCATTTTGGTTTTGTAGCCAATACTTCTGTTGACAACTCGCTCGCCACGGCAATGGCAAGCTTTGCAAACTTTCGCATCGATGTGCTGCCAAGAGTGGTTTCGTTCCTGGCTGACGATGTGACGAAGGAGCTTGCTCATGGCAGGTCATATGCCACGATCTCTCTGTGCTGCAAGGCTTTGTCTGTGAGAGACCTTCGAGCCGAATGGCGCCAATGCTTTGCCGAGTCTCGCCGCAAAGATGTCTCAATGATCAAACTGAACATCTTCATGCCTGAGCGCGAGTTCAGTGCGCTTGAACAAGAGGCCGCGAGACGGTACCCGGAGTGCGAGACTCGCCAGCTCAAGCACATCGAGATGCAGATTGGTGCAGCGGAGAACATGTTCGATTTCCACGTGGAGCACCTCTTGAACAGCCTCACCCCTCAATCCGCTGTTGTCTTTGCAGCGCGTGTTATGGCAAGGGTTGAGTTTGACCTGGATCATCCGTTAGATGTCCTGAAGCACGTGATTGAAGGAACCTTTCCCGTGCTGCCCGACGAACCTCTCATCACGCCTGAGGAGATGACAGAACTTCGTCGAGTTGTGGCCTTTGGCATCAGCAGTCCTGTAGATGTTCTGATGGATATGGTGGAAAGTTGGGTGAAAGCCGTCTTCGAGGACTACGGCGCCGCCTCAGCCAGAACCTTTGTGGCGTTCCTTCTACGTAAGGTCGATCGGATGCCATTGACCTGGGCGCTGCACTGCGGCTTATGGAGAGAGGCTGTGCTCAGCTTGTCGTCTCGCCAGGCCGCCGACGAGCTCGCGCGTTGCCTTGAACGATTGCGGCAGCGCAAGGGCATGGCCAAGCTGCTCGTGCTCCACATCCTGCGCAAGCTCCGGGCTCCATCGGAGAGGTCTAGCCGGCAGAAGATTCGAGACTGGACCAGAGAGGTCTTGTCAAGCGATGCTGTTGTCCATGGGATGTCTCTCAGGGCACGATGTGCGTTGGACAACTGCGTGAGCGACGAGAATCACACAGACTGGGAGGTAGTGTGGGCAGACAACTACCGCTTCATTGTCAAGCTCAACTTCCCTGACATCGCTGACGAGATGGAGGACATCGTTGAGGACGTTATCGTCTTTCTGCAAGACATGGACGTGCCCCCCCTGTCGTGGGGTGAGTCGTATCCTGTCCGCATCATCACGAGGAACCATCACCATGCGATTATCGTGTTGCGCAACTGTGCCGAGTTTGGCTTCGGTGCGCTCCAGGACATTTTGGTCCGAGTGCTCCAAGACCCCCAGTGATAGCCGAAGCAGCGTGTGCATAGCCATCCAGACACCGCAAACACCTTCACATCACAACGTGTTGGCAGGTGGGGGGAGGCATTTGCACGCGTTTGCCTGTATAGGACAGCATTGCTTTGAGCTATTTTGCGATCAGAGCAGTGCGACTACCCGACCCGCTTTGCCTTGCAGCTTATTGGCGTTTTCGCAAGGCCTTAGCACCTGTACAGTACAGTCTGGTCTGCGGCTCTCAGCTGCATGCTTGATGTAGCTTACATATGGAGCCCCGAACCTCAGCGACATCCGGAAAGGGCTGAGTGCGAGAGGGCTTGCACTTTACAGAAGCTTGAACCTCCCCTCCGTTTTGAACCCGGCAGGTTCGCAACTTCATCGAGTTCCCGAGCGAGGCTTGCCCCTGGCCCTGCAACTCTCCGTGCAACTGCTGCGGTCTTGCGTGATGTCGCACTTGCTTGCTCTTGTTGCAGTCCTTTTGGTTTTGTTCTGCAGACATGTTGTTGTGCCTTTGACCGGACACACTGACGTGCTTTGCCGCAGTTTCAGATTTTTGGCCGAGCTTCCAATTCGCCCACCTCCTGCAGGGCACGATGACTGCTCCGACGCGGATCTTACAGTGCTTGAACGTGCAGTCGCCACGCATTGCCGAACTTCTCTTCCCAGGTGAGCCTGAAAGGTTTGAAAGCTTTGGCTTCAACCACCTCTGCTTGCTGGCCGGGCGATGGGAGTCGGCTCAATTCAGGAGGGTCCTACTGTCCAACGTCGTGCAGTTCTTGATCCCCAACTTGCTGCGATCCATCGAAGACGTGTATGACTACAGTGCCCAAATGATGTTTGATTATTGGATGACTGCGCAGATGGATCGCACACATGCAGAAGAATTCTTCCAGACTTGGCACGCCTCTGCCATAGCTCTTCAACGACTCGGCGCCTGCAGCCGCATGACAGCGCGCTACGTGAGACCACACAGCCTTGTGATGCGGAAATTGTCCTTTCAGTTCCTGTTGTCGTTTACGTTCTGTTCCTGCTTTGACGGCTCGTCGTACAGCTCCAACTATTTAGACAACCTGCAGCACAGGCTGTTGGACATCGTAGCACTCATGGGCAAGCAGCAAGGCCGATTTGGCATCGCCAGAGCGCTGGTATGGGAGTTCGAAGCTAAGTACTTCGAGTTCGAGAGCAATCGCGCTCGTGATGAGGACGATGACGCACTATGGCATTCCCAAACAACCATTGCCGGTGATTACCTGGGCGGCCTGGAGCTAGTTCCCGGTTGCCCGGATTTCAGGCATGGAAGCTACACCGACGTGACTCGTGGCTCGTGGGAGATACCGCTTTCAAGAATCGCGAGAAATTACATCTCAACCTTGCGAGCCTTGGGCGTGACGCCACCCCAGCAGACGAAGGTCGGCTTTTATGACCTGGAGGATTACGAGTTCTCGAGCGGGGAGTCCGAGAATGGCTTTTGACGAGTTCCCCATTGTGGGGTTTGATTGCATCATGCATAGGGCAGGACTTCAGTACAGTTGGAGAGTCACTTGCCGCTTTAGTTGCACGTCCGGTTATGCCAGAAGGCGAACCATTCTGGTCTGCGGCTCCCAGCTGCATGCTTGATGTAGCTGAAATATGGGGCCTTGCAGATTTTGTACAGCTCGAGGACCACGCCACTTCAATAATCACCGAAGAAGCGTCGTGTCCTCAAGCAGGCGAGCGTTTAGTACAGCTGGAGAGTCCCTTGCCACTTTAGTTGCATGTCCGGTTATGCCAGAAGGCGAACCATTATTATGGTCTGCGGCTCCCAGCTGCATGCTTGATGTAGCTTAAATATGGAGCCCCGAACCTCAGCGACATCCGGAAAGAGCTGAGTGCGAGAGAGCTTGCACTTTACAGAAGCTTGAACCTCCCCTCCGTTTTGAACCCGGCAGGTGCGCGCAACTTCAAGTTCCCGGACAAGGCTCACTTGCACGCCTCCATTTGTAGGAGTCGTTGCAGTGCGGGCGTCCCCCAACATGCCTCGGTAGGATGTAGGGTTTCTGTCTCGTGCGTTGTAGGCAGTCCTGGGAGCCGTGATGTTGCATCTTCGATTGCCAGCATGTCTTTGAGCTGTTTTGTAGACAAGCGTTTGCTACTGGGCCGAAGTGAGCTAGAAGCTGACACACTGCTCACCGACCCTTAGTGCCTAGAACCTGGCAGGCGCGCGCATCATTGTCGAGAAGGCACACAGACACTCGCGCTGCAAGCAGTTTTCCTGATAGATCCTTTGCGTGTAATTTTACACGTTCGGAAAATTTACACGCCAAAAACGGTATAAATGATTTATACGCCAAATTGGGGTGTAAAAAAATTACACTTTTTTGTGTAATTTCTGGCGTGTAAATTTTGTCCTATTTTGTTCAATGGGCCAAGCTGTGCCGAAAAGGTGTTTTGAAAAACAGGCACTAGGAAGTGCGAGATGTCGAAAAAGTAGTGGATTCCGAATGCCGGGCAGGCCGACGTGGCGATAGATTCGTATAGATTCCGATAGCGAGATTTGCCGACAGAGACAACATGTACAGTTGTGACTCCGAAGGCCGACATGGCTTCTCTTGTTTCGGTGAAAAAACAAAAGAAAAAAAGAGAAAGAGAGAGCCAGAGAGCGAGAGTATATCCTCTAAACCACAGGAGAGCTCCTGAAATCAGTTCTTGCTTGTGTGACTTGCGCATGATTGTCCGTGAAACAGTATCACCTACCCCCCGCCATACATCACTGCAGGGCCACTGGCCTGCGGCTTGAGGGCAAGTCCCTGCACCATTCCACGGACCCAAGTGCGATGACGGCCACCGAGGTCCGGGAGTCCTTGGCCAGAGTTCGGCGATTCCGCGGGCTATTCCACCGTTTGTCGCTGGCAAACAGTGTGGAGTCACGTGCTAAGCAACCTGCTCAGAGAAATGCCTGGGGAAGCCGCGAGTTCCTTCTCGGCCACTCTTCGCGAGGTCCACAAAGAGGTCATCTCAAAGCAACGG